ACCTCTGTGAACCTTTTCTCTGGTTAACTAAAGGTTAGAATAGAAAATAAGGAAAGAAAGAAAACACTGCTCTGTATTTTTAAAGGCTCTTCTATTTGTCTGGATGAAAAAACGTTCAGTTCCTTATATAACAAAAAAGAATGTTAACCCTTTTCCCTAACGGTTACCCGTGTTGTGAACATATCACAGCACTTGCAAGCCTCTTTTGTCTTTTTTCTGTTTTATTAAAACGAATTATTTTACACTATGATTTAGTTTTTCTATATTTTCTGCCCCTGTATTTATGACTCCAGTTGGTAGTCTGTAAATATAAAATATGACTTTGTTTGCATAAAGTTGCACCTGTTAGAAGTCACTTTCTCTACAAGGTGCGTCTTCAGTCGATGCAGGGCAGTGGCTCTTCGTGCAGACGGACTCTCAGACAGACAGAGAGACGAGCAGGGCAGGGACTGGTGCTGCTGTTTAATGCTGAGGCCTGGCCTGGAGACTGCTGACTGATGCAAAATAGAAACACGGGGGTGGAACAGTTAGAGGGAGAAGGAGAGAGTGAGTGAAAGCTGAAGCAAGACTGATGGCGAGAGAAAGAGAGATGGTGCACAGGAGAGAGGGGTGGGAGGAAGGAGGGAGAGACATTATCGAGCCAGTGTGAGTCAGCAGGTTGACGGAGCCTCAGGGTGCGGCTCCAGCACATCACTGCTCCTGTAGCGTTTCCCAGTTCGCACTGGTCCGTCTGAGCCTTTCTGACAGGCAGTCAGACCCTCTTTAGCCTGTGTGTTTCCTATTAGATGTGCAATCAGCAGGCTCAGATAAGCACTTTGTGATTGTCTGGTGTAATGAATGAATGAATTGCATGCTGGCTGCTTACTCATATACATTATAAAGCACAGTAGGTCTAGTTGTTGTTGTTGTCAGGGGCTTTACTTCTAAATAACTGGAAAAACCGAATCACATAAGAACCCCGAAAAGCCATCATTCCCTTTTATCGGCAGCTGGCCTTGTAAAATGCATAAAGCATGCTAACTGTGCATGTCTGACCTTTGTGCGTGTGCAGGACCAGGAGACAACGTCCCGTCAGTGTTTGGCCTGGATGTGACAGACGTGTCGAGGTGGGAGGAGACGGTGCTGAACCCTGCACTGCAGATACTGGACAGCCTCAGTAAGGTGGGGCCTGCAGCTGGCAGCTACTTTTATCATGGAGCGCTGATCTGTTTCTGCACTGCCTGTTATTGGTGCACTCTTTATCATTCTGCCCGTTTTTATTGCAATCAAATTTGTTGTTTGCGTCTCCTTCCTTCCTTGCTTCCTTTTACTACAACCTTACCCGCCTCTTTTATCTCCATTTGCTCCCTTGTTCGCTTTATTGTTTGCAGTTTTTCTTCCTCGACTGTTTTTTTTCTTTTACATCTTTCTGTCGTGTTCCTAAATACACTTCTCGACCTTACTTTCCCTCCATTCTTTCTCCTGTCCCTTCTGTCGCATTTTATCCAACAGTCTTTTCTGTCATTCTTCTTTTTCTTCTTATTTTTTCCTTGCAGCTCTCCTTCCTCACCTGCCAACTGTCCAGCATTTTTTCTTTTCCGTCTTCTTCTTTGTTTCTCAACTCGGTATGCCCTAAACATGCTATCGGGCCTAATTCAGTCAGCTTTTTTTCTTTTTTAATTCCACTTATCAGGGTGAAGAACCAGCTATTGCTCCAATCAGAGTGCAGGCGGCGGAGCAGAGAAACAAACGCAGCCACCACACCTGTGACCTGTGTGACAAAGTCATCATTGGTGACCTGGAGTGGACAGGTGAGGCACTTCATACAACATGGCGACACGTTATTAACCCCTCGTACACCAAGCAGCTTCTGGGTGGTTTTTGCTTCTGTCGTATTTTTACTCACTGTGGCTGGCTAGAAGGAGACAAACTCTAAAATCTCTGTAGAGCAGTATGACATCGTTAAAGTGCCGTAAATGATGAACTCGGTGAACTTCATTTTTTAATTGTGTTGCAAAAATTTTTTTAAAAAAAGGAATAAACATGTACGTTTTTCAAGTGTTCACAGGTTCTACCAATATTGCAAAAACAATACATACAATAGATGTTTGACTACTTACGTTTTTAATTTGGTGCCATTCTTTTTTTCTCCGATCTGCTCTGTGAAAACAAAGCTGAAAAGTCCCTGATTTTTTTTTTTTTTTTTTTTGATTCGATTTGGTTTCATTTCCCGTCCGACCGGCACCTAACAGATGAGGGTCATTAGAAAGGTCACAACCTCGTGATTCTCTCTGTTTTCACTGTTTCTGATAAATGGTGTGATCATTTTGGTAAATACAACTCAGCTTTGAACCCCACAAGCAGGTTTGCAGCTGAGGGGGTTATTTATTTGGACATCACAATATATATTCTGTAAAACTGGTCTATGACTATATATATATAATATATCCTGAAAACCCTGAGAGTGTTTCTGCCTCGTTACAGTGAATGCGATTGAATTATTCTCACGCATTAACGCCCACTTCTACTTATTATCTTAATGGAGGATATTAAAGACACTTGATTTTTTCTGTTCCCTGTTTAAGATGACCTAACTTAGAACCTTCAAGACCACCTCCGGGACTCATCGTGCAAAGTTTCTACTTGTTTTCCTCGAGTGTGATTCATTTGGATCACGATCTACAAGTGTCACTGAGATGAAACAGTGCTGTCTCATACTTGATATATATCCTGGAGTGTTTATCCTCTGTGCCCGCAGCTCACCTGAAATCCAAGAAGCATCACTATCATGTGAGGAAAAAGAGGAAGCTTGATCCAGCCGGTGACCGGTCCCTGAGTGCCGGTGCACCTCCAGTGTCTGCAGGAGAGACTCTCTCAGAGGACTCTGGTGCTACTGTTGCCCCGGGCTGCACTGAAGCCTCTCAGGATTCCTCCAAAGACACCAGGACGACACACAAGGAAGTACCTGTGACATTTTAAAAGCTGGACTACATCCATTTTCGTTCACGTTTGTGCACCAACAAATGGATGTTTAATTACAGTCCTCTGTTTCCTCCCATGGAGCCAAATGGAAGTAATAACTCTGAACTGTGCTGATTGTTGATACGAACAAAAAAAAACACGTTTGAAATCCTGCATAAATACGTTCATAAGTGAATGTTCACAGACAGAAGCGTTGGTCTTGAGGTTTTTGTCGTAGGGATGTGAACTCTAAAGGACAAATGAGATGTTTAATGGCCTGTGCAGCTGAAGAATTCTGCATTTTAATGTTTTGGGTTTTTCTTTAATTTACATTTTAAGAGGTTTATTTTTCTATTTCTACAGATTGTGCCTTAACCCTCTGAACCTTAAGCAGTTTTTTTCTTTGCTCCTGTCACATTTTTGCTGCAATATAAAGTTCCCCTATGAAAACAGCACAACCACGACTAGAAGTAAACAGAAGTCAGAAATGTCTTTTTTCCCAGTATGACGTAATTGTAAAGCTGTACGTGATTAAAGAAACCTGCTTGCTGTCCGCACTATAGACATTTTCCTACTTAGATTTTAAATTTCCTATCTGACACTGCCTGCAGTTCAGCCAAAAATATTTTTAGTCATGTGACTGTTGGTCTCTGCTGAGTCACTAATGGCCTCTCGTCTGCACCAACGAGCACAGAATTGATTGTTTTTATAGAATCTAGGAATTATTTTTGGTTAATTTTCAATGAGACTTGAAAGCGGAATAAAACAATTTTGATGAAATATTCCGATTAGAAGCTTTTGAAGATTTCAAGTTTTCAAGCGCAGCATCACTGATGATAAGTTCAAGGACCATCAGTGGTCTAAAGTTCATGAAGCCCAGCTTGACTCACTTTTCCCCCGTAGCTTTCCAATATCCACATTGTATACACTGACTGGGTGTACTCCAACGATAAAATCCAGCTGACACCAAGTTGCGGTTGAAAAGGGATTCTTTAGTTCACAAAAATAAAAATTTACAGACAGAAGCAAAACGAGGATACAAAGCGTGTGCAGTCGAATAACTGTTTGGCTCCATGCCATCATTCATTTCCCAAGAGCCCTTGCAAATTTAAGGGACCCTAATATAGTGAACCAAAATATCAAAAACAAATCAATAAACCAAAACACCACACAAACACAGAATTCAAATATCCAAAAATATGATTAACAACATTTAACCAAATAACAGATAAATTTAGCAAAATAAAAATGTTAATCATAATCTTTAAATATCAAAGTTACTGTAGAACAAAAAATCAAAACCAAATAGAAATAATCGTGGTAAAATAAGAACCAAATCCAGAACCAAGGAAATAGATTTAGGCTCCTACAATCAGAAAAGTACAAATTTCAATGAGTCTTTCTGTTTTATAGTTTCTGGCTCTATTAATGTCGAACCTGCCGGCGGGTTTTGAGGTTAAGAGACGAAATAAAGGGTTGATTATTCGCATCGACTGAAAGTCTTCCATGTATAAATGTTAAACGTGTTTGTCTTAAGTTACAATTCACTTTAGTTTTTAAATAAAGAATATATCTTGGAAGTTTCTCAGCTTGTAAATGACTTTCTTCCACTCAAGTGAAAAATATGACGTGATGTTCGCCTTTATCTGGCCGGGCCCATGTCGGCATGCTTACACAGCACTGAGCTTTGTGCTTTGTTTGCCTGCTGCCACCTTGTTTTACTGTCAGAAAATACGTTCTTCTGGTTCTTTTGTTTGGTAATGACTACTCACCTGATTTGTGCTGCTGTCTTTCAGTGGAGCTCAGTTGAGCTCATTTCTGCTCTGACAGTGGTATAAACCACCGGTTCAGGCTGCGAGGGGAGACTGTTTTCACAGCACTGATTGCAGGTCTTTGTTTATCCAGCAGCATGTCGTACCCCTTTTGAACCAAGGTGTGTCTCTGTGCTGTAAAACCACTTACACAATACCTGGCGTTGCTCCAAAGGCCTCTTTTGGCGCTCCCTTTCCATCTTCTCACCTGCCACTTCTTTTTTTTTTTCTCGTCTCCTAAGAAGCACACAATTGTTCTGCGTTCCTGGTTAACACTCCATCATCTGTTTCTGTACGTTTACAGCTGCAGTCTTAGACGTGTTCTTTCAGGACACGTTTGGTTCACAGGCTTTCCGTGTTTGACCTCATCCACATGACTAAAAATATTTCCAGCTATATAATAGCTGGAAGTGTGTGTGTGTGTGTGTGTCCCACATTCTCTTTCCAAACTGGGTCAGGTCTCAAGCTTACTGGGGGCTTACCATACAGTATGGGAGTCACGGTGATAGCAAAGGTCACTGTGCAACTGGTGTCTGGCTTTTATAACCTATTCTGCGATCGAATGGTTTGTTTTCCTTCTGTTGTACATTTTTTTCGTTTTCTTTTCCCTAAATGATTTTATTTATCTCTGTAATTCCAAAAAACCTACACGATAAGAGCAGTCATTGAACGAGGAAAAATGTTTCTATCAGTCGCATGATACACTTTTAAGTGCCTCATTTCTTCTTTTGGTGAATTTATGTATGGTATGTTCTTATCTTGAGTGCCTCAGCGAGTCTGGCTTGGCACCTCCAGGCACTGCTGAATCACTCCGCATTTAAAGGAGCAAGCTTGCGCAATTCGATGACATAAAGCCCCTTGAACTCTGCGTCCACGTTCACACAAGTGGAGAAGTAGGGCAGCGTCCACGGTCACAAGGCTAATTAGTGATTTACGCGCCGTGATGCAGTGGATCATCTGTGGACACGCGGCCGTATGTGCACTCAGTGAGTTCATTAGCGGCCGACGTTGAGCACAAAGAATCGACACACCAGATCGGCTTTGAAATGGGAGACCTGCAACCGTCGCCGCCCCCCTGGACCACCACACACACACACACACACACACACACACACACACACACACACACACACACACACACACACACACACACACACACAGGCCCTTTCAAAGTGGGCTTTTCTGCATTCTTGAGTATTTGATTTGATGACTTGCTGCTACCGGCGCAGGCATAAATCTCTCCTCTGTGTTTGTATGTATAGCCGCATCAGTCAACGAGCCGCACAATAATTCACCCAGTTTGAGCTCCGTTTCTGTCTCTGCCTCTCTCGGTCCGGTCCTGCCCTATAGCGGATCAGTGGCTGTATATGTTCACAGAGCACACACTGTCCTATAGAGGAGGCCCAGTGCAGGGGAACTGCAGGCTGACTTATGTAACATGCTGCAGCCTATAGATGCTTGTTGTCTGGCCTGTTTGCCATGGAGGTTTGGCATCTGGTCCTGGCTTTATGCTGTGAATGAACTGCTTAGACCAGACTTCATATTTTCTATGCGTCTGGTGAGCAGCGGCTTTTGACGTAGCGTGAACATGTGGTGGCATTTGTTCATCTTAGTGCTGAAGAAATCATCATAAAATTTCCAGAAAGCTGCAGTTTTGTTTATCAGATTGATCATTTTTCAGGGGGAAAAAAGCCAGTGTGAAAATGGTCTATTTTTCCATTTCATCATCATAAAATTAAATGGCTTTGGACTGCAGGGTTGCCAGGTTTGGGGTTTTTCACGTGGCGCGGGGCGACTTTGTGACGTTGCTGCAGGTAGAATTTTTTTGTCTGCTGGAGATTTTTGAATGCAAATTTGTAAATATGGTTTATAAATAAAATGCAATATTTTAGATGAAATTATTTATTATTCGTTTGTATGTATCTGTGTGGACAGAAGCCATAATGTCACCTCTGTGCATGCATGTCTTTTGCTACTTTGTGTTACCAACATTTTCCTGAAACAACAACAATAACAGTAGACATATATACCAGCTTCTTTACATTTGGTTAGCATGAGCAGTTAGAAGTTTACCACTTGGTATTGCTGCATCACTCGGGCCCGATATCACTTGGTCCACAACATCTGCAGGTAAAAGTCCAGAAAAATGACAGAATTTTCTTTTGTGGTGTTTGTAGTTGTATCGTTGAAGTTTTAATGCCAGGCCAGCAGCCAAGATTCACAAGTGGAAAATCATCTCAGACTTATTTTCTATCTTTATTGAGAACATGAATGCAACCTAAAGTCTCCATAGAGGAATTACGTTGAGCGTTGGAATAGCGCACCAGTGCAATATCCCGGTTACCTGAGCTTTGTTAACACCGAGACTCTCCGATAGGCGTTTGTTAAGGCCTGAGTCTAACATAAAAGCTTCCGTGATATACGAGCTGTCTGACAAGTTTTATAGTTTTGGAATTTACACTTTTCTGCCTTTGTAGTTGTTTTTGCATACGTACAGAGATGTTTTGTAAAAAGACGGTCATGTGGACAGATGGAAGATATTTGTCTCGAGGTCTGTGAAGACTGTCATTCAGGTCATGGTGATTATACAATTACATTATTAAAAATTACTAATTATTACAATTATTCAGCAGTTTTCCTGAGGTTTCCACCAAAGGGATCAATAAAGTTCTGTTCCATTCTATTCTTTCTGTTCTGTTCGGTAGAAGGCAACTGAAGAAGGCTTTTGTTTGTGAGCTGAAACATCTTCAAGAACCAAATAAAGAGATGTCCCAGTGCCATCAGCTGGAGCTCTTTGGTTATCCATCTAGAGAAATATTACTATTGGCAAGAACAAGGCCTTAGTTTTTTATAGAGCGAACAATTAAATTGAAACATGAGGAACATTAAAATGTTTGTACTGCAAATCTGAAGCTAGTGCAAGTAGCTGGTTAGCTTAGCTTAGCATAAAGACCAGAAAGGAGGTACCTGATCTCAGTTAAAGAATAGCAAATTGTTGCTAATGTAATGACGACACTGTTTCCAGTCTGTATGCTAAGCTAAGCTAACTGGCTGCTCGTGGTAGCTTGATGATTAGCATCCAACTCCTTCATACTAGGAAGTGAAAACGTGTATTTCTCAAAATTTCAGACAATTTACTTAATTTAAATTACTTTAATAATTAATTTAGTGGATCATTTTGCACCAGGACCTGTCCAGGGTGTCCCCTACCTTCGCCCTAAGTTGGCTGGGATAGACTCCAGCACCCCGCGACCCTAGTGAGGATTAAGCGGTGTATAGATAATGGATGGATGGATTTTGAACCGGTCAAACCTGTTTTTATGTTTTTTTTTCCTGTGAATTTTCCCACTTTGTATGCTAACTACGCTCAACACATGTTTGTGGATTTGAACTTGCAGGGCTCCTCCGCCTCAGAGCTCTGCTGTAGTAGTGTGTCATCCAGTGACTGTGCGTCTAGGTAATTTGAAGTCCACTTAATCCTAATCTCTAATCCCATTTGACTAAACATTCTCTGCCATCTGGCCCTGGCGAGACAAAAAAAAAAAAAAATACTCAC